ATTGACGGTAGCGAAAAAATTTTTACCCCTTGACAAAATCTCGGAAAAAATAAAACTTTTTTTCTCAGAATTTCGAAGTATACTTCCAATAAAAGTTGTAGGTACTGTTATTACCTGCGAAAAAAGTCATATACATACAATTGTCTTCTATCTCGAATACTTTAGGACTAATCGATTAATTATTTTATTTATCATTCTTGGACAAGTGGAATTAAAAGAAAATTGCGTCGGGCCTTTTTTGTATCTAACAACTATAGTTACCACTTTTGTCTGAAGCGTTTGAAAAAAAAAGATTTTGCAATAAACATTTTCCCTGATTACTCTTCGACAAAACATTTAAGGGACACAATTCGACATAAAGTATGTAGGATAGATATCTTAATGAAACTTGAGAGACGTATGTCAAATGTATTTCATTAATTTAATTTAATTTAATTTAATGTATTATGCACTAACAAATGTTGAGAAATGAGGAGAATAAAGAGGGGGGGTTCGCAACGGTATCCATAGCTCCATCTCTTGTTGCTTCTCCCGATCACGGTTGGGAAGGTTTAGCCAGTTAGTTTGCCATTTTGTGACGCCTTGTGTGGAAGTTCGTAAACAAATTTTGCTTTGCTTGCCTGCGGAGGGACAAAAGAATTATGTCCAAACGGAGGATCGAGGTCGTGGACCCGTATGTTAAACGGAAACCGTGAGTGTTTTGATAAGTTTTTAATCGTAATAGTGAAAAGTCACGACGAAACTATTTTGCCATGTGCATTGCCACAAGTTTTCCCGATTCTCTCGCGCACCTCGTTCAACGGATCTTTGTTTTCGAGTTCGAAGATGATCTACGCAAACGAGGCTTGATTGTTCGAATAACGATAGGATCGAAGAATCTTATTAAGAGAAAGCTCTTCCATTCGCGAGACAAATCCTTTCTGTTGCTGTCGACTTGTTTGGTCAACTCGTCCGTAAAGGTTCTCAACTGAATTTCTTCTACCACGAGCACGATGACTTATACATTGTATTTTTTTGGAGAAATTCGGAAACGATACTCAGAAAACTTCCGCGTGTAATAATTAACACAAAACAGTCTTCAATATCATTTATTTTTTATCCAGATGATACGAGCAATCAAGTTTTCTTAACTACCATTATTTTGTCACGCGCGTGCTGTTTTACCGTTACGTGTAATTTATAATGAAAGAAATGGTTTTCGTAATTGTTGCTTCACAGAGATGGGTCAACCACATCCAACAGTACTACTATACCCTCGACAGCACCGAAAAATCAAGTTCAATTGAACCCTTATAATGGTTTGCCTTACACACCACGATATCATGAGTTTTATAAAAAGAGAATTACCTTGCCTGTATTCGAATACCGTACGGATTTTATGAGGCTGTTAGCACAACATCAATGTATTGTACTTGTCGGAGAGACGGGATCGGGTAAAACTACGCAAATACCGCAATGGTGTGTGGAATATTCAAGATGTATAGGCCCGAAAGGTGTAGCATGTACTCAGCCGAGGAGAGTGGCAGCTATGTCTGTCGCACAAAGAGTTTCGGAAGAAATGGATGTTGCGCTAGGTATATAATATTTTTCTTTTCTCAGACAGCAGGAATTTTCCGATTTTTGTCCTAATAATTGATTCTTGAAAATAGGTCAAGAAGTAGGGTACAGTATTCGTTTCGAAGATTGCAGTTCCCTAAAAACTGTATTGAAATACATGACCGACGGTATGCTTCTTCGCGAAGGCATGTCAGATCCTATGTTGGATGCCTACCAAGTGATACTGTTAGACGAAGCTCATGAAAGAACTTTAGCCACAGACTTGCTTATGGGTGTGTTAAAAGAAGTGATCAAACAGAGGCCAGATTTGAAGCTTGTGATCATGAGTGCGACCTTGGATGCTGGCAAATTTCAACAGTATTTCGATAATGCACCTTTAATGAACGTACCTGGCAGAACTCATCCTGTTGAGATATTTTATACGCCTGAACCGGAGAGGGATTACCTAGAGGCTGCTATCAGGACTGTTATTCAGATACACATGTGCGAAGAAGTGGCAGGGGATTTGCTTCTGTTCTTAACTGGTCAAGAAGAAATAGAGGAAGCATGCAAAAGAATCAAAAGAGAAATGGATAATCTAGGTCCGGAGGTGGGCGAGCTCAAGTGCATACCGCTCTATTCTACGCTACCTCCGAACCTCCAGCAGAGAATTTTCGAGCCAGCACCGCCTACGAAACCTAATGGTGCTATCGGTAGAAAAGTAGTGGTTTCTACTAATATCGCAGAAACGTCTTTAACCATCGACGGCGTCGTGTTCGTGATAGATCCCGGATTCGCAAAGCAGAAGGTATCATCAACGATTCTTGGCCGCTGGATCTTTTGAAATGCGTGACGGTATACTTAATTTTTACCTTATGTTTCAACAGGTGTATAATCCCAGAATTCGTGTAGAGTCTCTTCTGGTTTCCCCTATCAGCAAAGCTTCTGCTCAGCAAAGGGCTGGCAGAGCTGGCCGAACTAGACCGGGCAAATGTTTCCGATTATACACCGAGAAAGCATATAAGAATGAAATGCAAGATAACACTTATCCTGAGATTTTGAGATCCAATCTCGGAAGCGTTGTGTTACAATTAAAAAAACTGGGTATCGACGATTTGGTATGTATTTCTTAAAGATTCACTTTTAGATTTTTATTTGTAATCATTTTCACTTCATCTTTTTCTATAGGTACATTTTGACTTCATGGACCCGCCTGCGCCAGAGACTCTCATGAGAGCTTTGGAACTACTTAATTATTTAGCTGCTTTGGACGACGATGGAAACCTGACCGATTTGGGTGCTGTCATGGCAGAGTTTCCATTGGATCCGCAACTAGCGAAGATGCTCATCGCATCGTGCAATCATAACTGCAGTAACGAGATACTGAGCATTACTGCCATGTTGTCAGGTAAAGTATTAAAAAAAAGTGTCGATATGTACGTTGTTAGGTTTATGTTTAAAGTAATTTTAATACGATAAAGTCAGGATCATGGTCAGGTAACGTGGTTTTAAATTGATGATTGATATTGTATTAGTCCCGCAGTGTTTTGTGAGGCCGAATGAATCGAAGAAGGCCGCCGACGATGCTAAAATGCGATTTGCACATATCGACGGAGATCACTTGACGTTATTAAACGTGTATCACGCTTTTAAACAAAGTAAGTGTCCGAAGCTTTGATTTCGTCTTCATTATATTACGATTCTAATCTCTTTTTTGCTACAGATTTCGAAGACCCTCAGTGGTGTTACGACAATTTCGTTAATTACCGATCTTTAAAAAGCGGTGACAATGTTAGGCAACAACTAAGTAGAATAATGGACAGATTTTGTCTAAAACGTACATCGACGGATTTCACATCAAAGGATTACTATATCAATATCAGAAAGGCACTTGTGAACGGTTTCTTCATGCAGGTAAGTAATAATAAAATTGCTCTACGAATGACTAGTATTAATTATACTTTCTGTCGGTGCTAGGTGGCTCATTTAGAGAGGACAGGTCATTATTTGACCATCAAAGATAATCAAATTGTACAGCTTCATCCGAGCAGTTGCTTGGATCATAAACCCGAGTGGGTGATTTATAACGAGTTCGTGCTTACGACCAAAAATTATATCAGAACAGTTACTGATATCAAACGTAAGTTATACTTATTGGCCGTACGAAAAGCATTTGATTTTGTAGTATAATTTTAACCATCTTTCCTTTTCCAGCTGACTGGTTGTTGAAAATAGCACCACAATATTACGATTTACAAAACTTCCCCCAATGCGAGGCGAAACGACAATTGGAAGTGATTCAAACAAAGTTAGACTCTAAACAGTACCAGGAAGGATTCTAACCCTTATATATTTTAGCTATCTTCAAAAATGGTGTCGAGCGATTGATAACACGATCTATTTTCGCCGTCGAGTTGAACACTCGATTTTTTCAAATATACAGCCAAACGAAACCACATACATTAAACATTACGAGACACAGCCGAAAGAGCAGCCGTCTGCTCTGTATTTTCACTTCAAAAAAACTGAATGTAAAGAAAAAGACAAATTTTAACGAACGTTTCTAATTTTGTACAAGCTTTAACTTGTACATTTTTTTAGGCTCGTGTGCCGAGGAAGTTTTCAATGTTCGTAGAAGTAATTCTAATCGTAAACGTGAAACATAAAATGAGAATTGTCCTTTAATCTGCTAGAAGGCACGCGGAAGTCATAGTTGATTGATAAATTGTTTATTTATGTACATTTAAAAAAAAGGAGTTTAGTGACTAAGTAATTTTACTGGTAGAATTTGTTGATCAACGTCTGCACACTCGAAATGTAATACTAGATAAAAGAATAGATTAATTTTTGTATTACCGATCTTTAAAAAGCGGTGACAATGTTAGGCAACAACTAAGTAGAATAATGGACAGATTTTGTCTAAAACGTACATCGACGGATTTCACATCAAAGGATTACTATATCAATATCAGAAAGGCACTTGTGAACGGTTTCTTCATGCAGGTAAGTAATAATAAAATTGCTCTACGAATGACTAGTATTAATTATACTTTCTGTCGGTGCTAGGTGGCTCATTTAGAGAGGACAGGTCATTATTTGACCATCAAAGATAATCAAATTGTACAGCTTCATCCGAGCAGTTGCTTGGATCATAAACCCGAGTGGGTGATTTATAACGAGTTCGTGCTTACGACCAAAAATTATATCAGAACAGTTACTGATATCAAACGTAAGTTATACTTATTGGCCGTACGAAAAGCATTTGATTTTGTAGTATAATTTTAACCATCTTTCCTTTTCCAGCTGACTGGTTGTTGAAAATAGCACCACAATATTACGATTTACAAAACTTCCCCCAATGCGAGGCGAAACGACAATTGGAAGTGATTCAAACAAAGTTAGACTCTAAACAGTACCAGGAAGGATTCTAACCCTTATATATTTTAGCTATCTTCAAAAATGGTGTCGAGCGATTGATAACACGATCTATTTTCGCCGTCGAGTTGAACACTCGATTTTTTCAAATATACAGCCAAACGAAACCACATACATTAAACATTACGAGACACAGCCGAAAGAGCAGCCGTCTGCTCTGTATTTTCACTTCAAAAAAACTGAATGTAAAGAAAAAGACAAATTTTAACGAACGTTTCTAATTTTGTACAAGCTTTAACTTGTACATTTTTTTAGGCTCGTGTGCCGAGGAAGTTTTCAATGTTCGTAGAAGTAATTCTAATCGTAAACGTGAAACATAAAATGAGAATTGTCCTTTAATCTGCTAGAAGGCACGCGGAAGTCATAGTTGATTGATAAATTGTTTATTTATGTACATTTAAAAAAAAGGAGTTTAGTGACTAAGTAATTTTACTGGTAGAATTTGTTGATCAACGTCTGCACACTCGAAATGTAATACTAGATAAAAGAATAGATTAATTTTTGTATTAAATGTTGAACAAGTATGCCAGATTAAGATACATACAATGCTTGCTATCGATAATCGGAGGGCAATGATCTTCACGTGAACCTTGAACACATTCTACCCTGTTTTTCTCTCTTAAAATTAAGCAGTGGTGCATATTTCACCTTCTCAACATGTACGTATCCGTGGCGATATCACATATTTATTATCACGATCGAAAATGTGCAAATACTATATTATATATTGGTTTTCTCTGTTTTTTTTTTGTTTTACAATCAGTACAATTATGTTGTCATTTTACACGATTAACGATGACTGAAGACTAATTCCAACCATGGGAAATAAAATCGTAATATGGAAGCTACGTAATAAGTTTTAAGAATCGAATTATTCTTATACAAAATTGCGAGTAATTAAAAGGGGATTGCGCCTAACTATTGCCCGAATAACAGTGATTTCATTAATTTTAGGATATCATTCATACACATTGAATTCTTTCTAGCTTGTTTAGAATTTATAATTTTTAAATAGTTCCAGATACTACAAAATTGCTTTCGCTAATGAGAGTTTAATTTCACGATTTTTACATCACTCTATCATTAAACGATTGAACGAGAATTTCGTTTCTTTTGTAAATAAAAAGATATTCCGCGCAGGTATTCGAAAGAACACAGCATTACGAGATTTCTGATCGCGAAGTTCTCATTGTATTGTACCACTTCATTCCAATAAAATATTGAAAATACTTGCCGATTATAATTAATATAATTTCTATGAATTCGTCAAGCGTTTCATCGAATATTGCATCATACATTTTACGTAACGGATCAAAAAAGCTCTTACAATAGCGGTGAAATTCTTTTTCTTATCGCGAGTGTTATGTCGAAAGAGCCGTTTGAGAACCACTGAGAAAGCACGAGGATCGCTGGGTTTCATCATTTACCACCAATTTTCATGAAATTAAAAGAGCTATGGCATCGTTCGTGATACCGGTCTCAGCGAGATTCACTCGTGTCACAGTTGATAGCTTGCATAATATAAATAAGAATATTTTACTTAGGTAAGACTCGTAAGTTCTCTAATTTATTATATTCGTCAAACATGTGCAACCGTTTAAACACATATTACAACATGTACACAGAGGTTAAGCTACTAAACGATACTACTTGCTACTTTCTTATATTTCAAACAAAATTATAATACACTTGACGAATCTAATCTTATTTTTCTGAAATTCATATAATACTTTTGTAACACTTGATATTCTAATAAATATACGAAAGCCGCATCAATGATTCATTTCGGGTTCCTCATCCGACAATAAAAAATAATATAAATAATTTGTTTAAAGGCTATCACAACCATCGTTCATTTCTTGGCGACGGCAAGAGTATAGTACAATTACAGAAGAAAAGAAATCGGAATCTTCAGAAACTCCAACACTAGAGACCGAAAATGAGAAGAAGTTTAGAGCAGATATTGAGCTTCTCAATAAAGAGCTGGCAGAATTGAAAACTCAGGAAGAAGAATTGAAAGATAAATATAAAAGAGCTCTTGCAGAGGGAGAGAATCTTAGAATTAGGTTAACGAAACAAATTGACGATGCAAAATTGTTTGGTATCCAAGGTTTTTGCAAGGATCTCTTAGAAGTAGCAGACATATTAGGTAAAGCCACAGAAAGTGTACCAAAGGATGAGCTTACAGAAAAGAATCCTCATTTAAAGACTTTGTATGAAGGCTTAAGGATGACAGAAGCACAATTGCATAAAGTAAATAAGGAAATCTAACTGAATTATATTCTATTGTGATAAGAGAATGAGATCAAAATTATTACTTTCAAACTTTTCTATAGGTCTTTAAAAAGCATGGGCTGGTTTCATTGAACCCTCTGAATGAAAAGTTTGATCCTAATCAGCACGAAGCATTATTTCAACAGGTAACATAAACATGATTTCTTTAATACGAAACGAAGTTTATAATTGCATTAAATAACGTTAAGAATACACTTTTGCATAGGAGGTTGAAGGTAAAGCACCAGGCACAATTGTAGTTGTATCTAAATTGGGCTATAAGTTACACGAACGCGTTGTAAGACCAGCGTTAGTTGGCGTTGCCAAGGGATAATTTATAATTGTAATGTCAATTTAAATGGAATCCCTCGAATCCGTGAATAAACTATTGGCGCATATATATTGTAATTTAAATTTATATGTAATACATCAAAGTATAATATTACACGGAGTCGATATAGAAAGGAAGAACAGTGCATAAATTTTATAAAAACTGAACTTGTTGTTATTCTATTAAGTTATAAAGCAACTGTAATATACATAAATTTTTATGTTTCTTTGATTGATGCAAATAGATTTGTATGTATTTAAACAAATAATTTTTTTTATTGTACCATACTTTGTATGTATCACATTCCGTAAAAAGTAGTATAAAAAGTTATTATATAGTATGCTTAAGGAACTTTTATCATAGCAGTCTAGCACCTTTCAAATACCTTGTACAAATCCGGTAAACTAGCTATTTGTAATACTGTCGAGTCGTGAGCAAAGTTTTTCGGAGGATAAAAGCTTTCCTTAATCGCTGTATACAAGACATGTTCTGTTATATATTTCCAATCATGAGTATCGTGCATGGCACTTATGTGGCTATAATATCTTGCAGTTTCTTTGCAAATACTTCTAAAACACGCAGATTCCGATTTCCAGTCTACTTGCGTAGCTAAGCGTAGTACATAAAGGGGCAGGTCAGCCTGACTAGGAAAATATTTCTCTGGAAAAGAAGATCGTATTGTATATTTCAATTAAAATATATGGATATTTTATTAAAATATATACCTAATAATACTGGTAGAGATTTTAAATTTCCTTTTTTATCTAACACGATAGAAAAATACTCATTTAACATATCTGCTTTCTCCAGTAGAAGGTCCTTAGCAGATTCAGCTAATTTATTTTTAGGTCCATAATTCTCCGACCATCCAGCTTCCTCGCTATCTAATGCTAACATAGCTAAATCGTATAAAGAAATTGGTTCCTGAAAAGTAAATGCAACGTACAACGTGATAATAACTTCGTCAATCGATATATTTACCGAGAATTTGATGACTCCATAATTCGCAAAATCGAACACCATAATTTGGTAAAATAGTTTCTCGCTAAATAAAAAAAGATATTTCTTACTTTCTATGTACAGATATTCGAAGACATGTACGATCGATACTCACATTAATTTTGTCGTGTTGCAAAGGTATAAATTGACTCCACTTTGAATCAAAGCGGAAGACTGATCTATGCAGCCGACGAAAGTTAATTCCGATAATATGTGCATGAGACTTTCGTGACAATCATCCTCCAATTCTTTACGCATTTTTAACACACTTGTTAATCTTACTTCCCTTACAAAATTGTTTATTGAACGTGACTTAAATTCAGGTACAACTCTTTTAGCAGTTTCTTCAGATGTTTGAGCCACAGAAGTTTGCGCTTCATTAGGTGTACTACTTTCAAGTTCTTCAAATGGACTGCTTCCTTTTGGATCGTTTTGTTCCTGGGAGTTTGTATTCCCAAAACGTTTGTATATCTGTTGGCGCGCTTTATCCGCGATGACGTCGGTACAATCTTTTTTCATAGACTCATCTTTCGTTTCATCAAAATCATCATCGTCAAATTCGAGAACATCTAAAAGGCTTAATTCATTCTCATCTCTATTGACATTTTCGTTAGATCTGTCTAAATTAGAAACTGCAGAATCAATTTTGGCTGGAGTTGTATCTAGAATACTATTCCATGGAGTATTTGATTTCTCTAACGTTAGTTCCTTCACATCTTTCTCCTCTTCATCAATTTTTAAAATATCTTCATTTTGTAATATATTACTTGACTTGCTACATGTAGGTTTATTATCATCGTCTCTAGCATCTTGCACTGCCGCATGGACGGTAAAATTAAATTTGTCTAACTTTTGAACAGACGCGTTAATTCTGATCATTTGTTTCGGATGAAGTTTCTGAGTTTTATCTTTCTCGTCTACAGGTAGAACTTCTTTTAAAACATCATTGGTAATATCGGTCTTTGGTAGATGTGCTTGTACGTAAAATGTTCTCGAACCGCTGTTTCTCGATAACTTCTCATCCAAAGCTAGCCGTATCTTTTCGATGATAGAATCCTCGTGAAGAAATTTCACTTCGTGTTTCGTCGGATGGACGTTTACATCGACGTTCTGCGGTTCAATTTCTAATGATATGTAACACCATGGATAGGTCTTCTTTGGAAGGTAAACTGTATAGAGTTCTTCTAACATTTTTCGAATCGCTGTAAAAAGATCGAGCTCAGTTTCCTTCGATAAAAGCATCTTATTCGAACACTTCGAAACTTACAAGAAGATTCTACCAGTCTGTTGTTGATAAACAAAAGAAACACCAATTTCTTGTTACTGTAATTCGGGTTCGTTATCAAACCATGCACTTTAAATTTGTACTTCGTGTCTTCAAGTTCCACTTCTAACAATTCACGGGCTACAGGATTACCATACAGTATTCTTACGTTACTCATTTTTGTAGAAACGTGTGGTGTACGGATCTAGTTGTAAAACAAATGTTTAATCCATTTTAATCCGACAACTTTTCCCTTACGATGAAGTACCTGGGGTGTAGGTTCACCATGCTTCTTCAATGTAAATCCCACAGTAGGATTATGTACCGCATACTTTGTAACTACATCTGTGATTTTGCTCAATTCATCAGCAGGACTTGACAGAGCCTTTCTCCTGGTCGCGACATTATAAAACAGATTCTCAATCTTTATCGTAGTGCCTTGATTTCCAGCACACGGTTGAAGTGGCCCTTTTAATTTGCTGTCGACATACGATGCTCTAATAAAAAGAAGAAATTTTTTAGACAATTTCCTCCGAGGTTTGAAAAAGATTGTCCAACTTGAACGTACTTATAAGCACACTTTTCATTCGCAGTCTTTGTAATAATTGTTAAAAGTGAAACGTGACTTATGCTTGCTAAAGCTTCACCACGAAATCCAAACGTCGTTATCGCCTGAAGATCTTCAAATGTCTGTAATTTACTTGTAGTAAACCTTGCACAGACAATATCCATGTCCTCTTTCCTGATGCCTGTCCCATTATCTTGAATCTATCATCATTAAATTAGGATTAAGTAATGAATTTTTCACTCAAGAGTTGAGGCAACTACCTGTAATAATTTTAATCCGCCTTCTTTGGTCAAAATCTGTATATTAGTTGCTTTAGCGTCTAAACTGGAACATTCGACGTTATCTATAAAAACATGAAGGAAATGCATACACAAGACAACGAGTTCTCAAATGTCTAACCTGTTCTCTATTAATTCTTTTAACGCGTTTGCTGGTCTTTGTATTACTTCGCCAGCTGCAATTCTATTCACCACAACTTCGTCTAACTGCCTGATTTTCGCTGGTTCGTTCATTTTCAACAACACGAGTCCTAGATTTTCACCGAAGCATCGAAAAGCAATAACAACAGCCAAATTTTATGTTAGATGACTTTACGATATATGTTCCAGTTACGATATACAACGATACATTAATAAATTTACATTATCGGAAAATGGAATTGAAATTACGATGTAAATTTCACAGAAATCTGCACTTTTCTTAAAACATTCTATTTCGCAGGTGTTCGAACACTACTTTCGCGCTGTACGTTTGAATACAAAATTACGTACAGTATATGTTAGATCTGTCAGATCGAGTCTAAAAAAATGAACAACTGCAGTTCAAAATAAGGATCCTACTCTTATTAGTACTGAATTATTGATTAATTCAAACAATCAAGAAGAGTCAAGATTCATCAGATAAATAGCATCATTACTAAGTGCATAATTATATATATTAGAGCATTGCGGATATGAACAAATGTCATATCAGAGATAAATTCGATGTATTTTTAATACATATGTATGTATATCAAAGCACACTTCAAAGTTCAACTTTATATAAGATATGATATAAGTAAATTTATTTTCGGCGCGATCATCGAATAACTTCCTCGAAATCGCATATAAATACATTTATTCGGTTCGTTCGTATAATTTTCCATGAGTCTTATTAATATTGATTTATGTAATTTGAACAATTCGAATAAATAAGAAACGATTTGAATCGTGCTAATTATAATCGAATGGATTGTGCCTAAATACCTGAATCAGCTTGAACGTTCCAGCACTTTCTATACTTAATTAATACATAGCGGTGTCTCTGTCTCTCCCATAAGGTCGCGTATCTATCTTGCATCTGTGTCTATTCTAGGTGCATCGAGAAGTTTCAGCCAATGGTAGCGCGTCGCCGAGTCGACGGGCTGCCGTGATTGGTCATTTTCAGAAATTTCTCGAAACGCGGGCTTTGGGTATTAAAAGAGCGCGCGTTCCGTCGCTGGGCGAGAACAAGAATAGAAAGCGAAGAGTGAACATTGCACTTACGTGCGACTTACAAGACTGCGATTTACTGAAGCATATACGAAGCGAATTATACAAGAGGTACGTGTATTTAGATATAATAATTAAGTTTTAATTTATTTCGTGCTGGTGTATCTTTCATTGAATCGATTCGCGAACCGGGTAAACGTTGTGCTAACTTAGTTGAAGTTGCATCATGTATACAGTTCGTTTGTTTCATCATTTAGAAGATGGTTTGATTAAAAGTTTTTCCGTTGGATTTCGGGCACGGTTATTCGCGTTTCTGTGTTTGTTGGGTGTTTTTCGTTAACCGGTGGTCGCTTTGTCAGACTTAGTACGTGCGATCAGACTCGTTACGTTTTTAAATTGAAAAAGTTTTGTCGTTTCTCATCAACGCGTTTGTTGACTAATTTTATTCGATTCTTCTGTCCATAGCAAGACAAAATGTCAAAGGTCCCAGCAATTGGAATTGATTTGGGCACTACATACTCGTGTGTGGGTGTCTTCCAGCATGGAAAGGTGGAGATCATCGCGAATGATCAGGGGAATAGGACAACGCCGAGTTATGTCGCCTTCACTGACACCGAAAGGCTGATCGGCGACGCGGCCAAAAACCAGGTCGCGATGAACCCCAACAACACCATTTTCGGTAAGTGAATTCATACCGAAATTTCACTATCCTGTCATCATCTTCCTTTATACTTTACGTCATTCTTACACATCGATGGAAAATTTTATGTCTTCTTTTTAAAACTCCGTATACACTTGCGTTACGTAATAGAGTATAAATAGAAAATGTGTACGTCCAACGTATTCCACTTTGTATATGTAGTGGAAAATTTTGCTTCGCCAATTCGCATTTGTAACATTATTGCGATTTCATAACTGACCTTGCATAATCCTGTGCACTGTCCTCTTTATTCTCAGTATTTAGAGCGACGCGACGTGTTTCTTTATGTTTCCCAATACACTCTTGTGCGACGGTCATTATTTATTTTCCGTTTTTTAAATTTTTTCACGTGTGTGCTAAGTTTTATTAATCACAAGGAAAAACGAAGAGGAGACACTAATAGGAAACACGTAATTACAGACTTCATTAATACACATTCTTATTAACATTACTAAATGTCCGTTTCATTTTAGCAGACTAATAGAAACACGTAATTACACAATTCACTATCCTTAACATCCCAATTAACATTACTATACTTTTGAGTGCAATTCTCGATAAAATAAATATATTTTATACTCCTACAGACGCGAAGAGGCTGATTGGCCGTCGTTTCGATGATTCAACGGTACAGAGTGATATGAAACACTGGCCATTCACGGTGGTGAACGATGGTGGCAAACCGAAAATCAAGGTTTCGTACAAGGGTGAGACAAAGACCTTCTTCCCCGAAGAAGTGTCGTCGATGGTACTGACGAAGATGAAGGAAACAGCTGAAGCGTATTTAGGCAATACCGTTACCAACGCCGTCATCACCGTACCAGCGTATTTCAATGACTCGCAAAGACAAGCCACCAAAGACGCGGGAGCGATAGCAGGTCTGAATGTTCTAAGGATCATCAACGAACCAACTGCGGCGGCGATCGCTTATGGTCTCGATAAGAAAACATCTGGCGAGAAGAACGTGTTGATCTTCGACCTGGGAGGTGGCACCTTCGATGTGTCGATTTTGACCATCGAAGACGGCATCTTCGAAGTGAAATCAACGGCTGGCGACACACATCTCGGTGGCGAGGACTTCGACAATCGAATGGTCAACCACTTCGTTCAGGAGTTCAAGAGGAAGTACAAGAAAGACCTGAGTACTAACAAGAGGGCTCTTAGGCGCTTGAGAACGGCCTGTGAGAGGGCGAAGAGGACTCTGAGCTCGTCGACGCAGGCCAGCATCGAGATCGATTCTTTGTTCGAGGGTGTCGACTTCTACACGTCCGTTACCAGGGCCAGGTTTGAGGAGCTATGCGCGGATCTGTTCAGGAGTACGTTGGAACCGGTGGAGAAGGCCCTGCGGGACGCGAAGATGGACAAGAGCCAGGTTCATAGCATCGTTCTAGTCGGTGGTTCTACCAGGATACCAAAGATTCAGAAACTACTTCAAGATTTCTTCAACGGCAAAGAACTGAACAAGTCCATCAATCCCGACGAGGCTGTCGCCTACGGTGCAGCTGTCCAGGCTGCCATCCTCCACGGCGACAAGTCGGAGCAAGTCCAAGATCTTTTGCTCCTGGATGTCACGCCTCTGTCGCTTGGTATCGAGACTGCCGGCGGTGTGATGACAACATTGATCAAGAGGAACACCACAATACCAACCAAACAGACTCAGACGTTTACCACCTATTCTGATAATCAGCCTGGCGTCCTGATTCAAGTGTACGAAGGAGAGAGAGCTATGACGAGGGACAACAACCTCCTCGGCAAGTTCGAGCTCGTCGGCATTCCACCCGCGCCTAGAGGCGTACCTCAAATCGAAGTTACGTTCGACATCGACGCTAACGGAATCCTGAACGTGTCTGCCATTGAGAAATCGACTGGCAAAGAGAACAAGATCACCATCACCAACGACAAGGGTCGATTGTCGAAGGACGACATCGAGAGAATGGTGAACGAGGCTGAAAGATACCGCAACGAGGACGAACAACAACGGGAGAGGATAAGTGCGAAGAACGCACTGGAGTCTTACTGCTTCAACATGAAGAGCACTATGGAGGATGAGAAGATTCAGGGCAAGATCGATGCTTCGGACAAGCAGAAGGTCATCGAGAAATGCAACGAAGTGATCTCGTGGTTGGACGCGAACCAATTAGCGGAGAAGGAAGAATTCGCGGATAAACAAAAGGAACTGGAGTCTGTCTGCAATCCTATCGTTACGAAATTGTATCAGGGTGGCGGTGGAGCGCCCGGTGGATTCCCGGGTGCCCCAGGAGGCGGCAACACCGGGGGTGGTGCTGGCGGCGGACCAACCATCGAGGAAGTCGATTAAACGCACAATAGCCATCTATAGCAACTGTCACCATCCACCCACACCATCCATAGCAACATGCATCCTCCATAAAACTCTGGTCAACATTTTCATCTAATTTACTTTTTAACTTTGTACAGTAGTCACCAACATCAGACTGCCATAGTTTGCGCAAACGAAATGTACATTTTGTAACAAACACTTTTTTCTTAGTAAAAAATATATTTAAATT